AAAAAAAAAAAAAAAAAAACTCTGCAGAACTTTATCAGATACAGTTTCACAGACAATCGCTGTGCTGTGTGACCCGGGAGCACTCAGAACCAAACAGATCCACCTCCTGTGACTGGGTGAGGTTTTTTTTTTGCCTCTGGGTCAGCAGGATTCAAAGGAATGTGGGATCCGGTGATGGTGGGTCAGACAAGTGAACCCTGAGGCCTCTGGAAGAGATGCACACCACGCGTCAAACTCACGGCCCGCGGGCCAAACGAAGCTGAAGTTTTGTCCGGTTTGTACGCAAGACAAAAATTTGTTTGTGACAAACCCAGGGTTTTTATTTTCAGTAAAAACCTGATCACATCACACTAATGCAAACTGTTCATAGTAACTAATGTTAAAKCAAAGTTATTATTTTTGGTATTTTTACTTTTTAGCACAGAAAGGTGAACAATTAATGAAAACAGCCAAGAAAAACAGCACATAAACCATTGCTTTTTCTTTATATTTTCATTTTTACTCATGTATATTATTTTTAAATCCTTTCAACTGAACTAGAGTACTCACTAAATGTGTAAAACAGGCACCAAGATTTAAATGAAGCAATACACACGAGCCACCACAGATTGTGTCCAAATTTTAAACCAAAATCTGCATAATCAGTTAATGCTCAGATTATGTTTTGGACAACACTCAGCTACTACCACACCAAATTTTAGCCTTACATCTGCACAAATAACCGATCTGCAGCGGTTTTTGTGTTTGCTAAGCTCCATCAGCTGTGGCGGCCATCTTGAATGGGGCAAACTTGAAAAGTTAATCAGCTGTAGATGGACTTCCAATAGCTATATGTTTTGAATTTTATTAAAATCAGAACAGTTTTTAGGGAGATATTTTGCTAACAGACAAAAGAAAAAACTCTCTTAGCAACCCAGGAAAGAAAAAGTGATGTTTGGTACAAAATATATAACTTAAAAAAGAACTTGTGTTTTTATGAGTAATATATTGTGTACCTTTGAAGATTTTATTTTTAACAAGTCTATTTATTCCAGCTTCTAGATTAGGGGTTAAAACCTGGAAAGTTTTAGAGGTTAAAAAAAAAGTCGTCTCCCGACGTGAGGAGCGTCAGCAGCCGCCCAAACAGAGCGTCCTGTCGGGGCTGATGAGGCTGCAGACCCCCCCGCCCCCACCCGGACCTCTGCTCGTCTCACTTTGTTCTGGAAGAAACCAGAACGAGCCGAACCGCACGAGCCTTCTTTTGTGCGCCAGGACGCGACAAAAAAACAAAACAAAACAAAAAAAAAGTTGGGTCTAATCCGAAGTGTTGGCGTGAAGCAGAAACGCACAAAAGAAGGAGCGGCCGAGAGGAGAACAACAGCCCGGCKCCGCACACCAGATGTCCGCGGATAATCAGCTCCTCTGTCCCGCCGAACTCCTGCAACTTCCCTCAGTTTCAGAGCCGAGCTCCGCGGGAAAAGTTCGGCTTTGTTCGCGCTTACCTGTGGATCTGTGCAGAGCTGTGGAGTCGTGTGAGAGGAAGAGGGGACCCAGTCTGCTCGGTCCTCCACCAAATTCTGGTAAAAACCCAGACCAAGCCCCTCCCTCCAAGACCAGATCTGCTGAGTCCGCTCCAACAGACCCCCAGATCACAGGAACTGTAGCAACAACAGAGGCTAAAAACACAGACAAAACTCAGAACTTAAAAAATAAAAAAGTTTTCTCATCTTTTTTTTTAATTTAGAGGAAAAATGAATGACCAAAGTCATAATTTTTAAATTATTTAAAAAATGTATTTTATTATTATAACA